ATATACTATAGAACCTCTTGTGTGGTGGTTATTGATCTCATATACTAATTCTGTGCACAGAAAGAGAGATTAGAGTCACAAAATTTTAAACTATATTTGGAACTCCATTCTTGGTCCTTTCACCTAAGAGCATCACAAGTTTGGGTCCATTCCTCACTGTTCTCCTTGATTCCACCCAAGGGTTGTGAAGAACTAAAGAGGACACATTGGAGCGCTGTTCCAGAGTGACTCAGTGAACACAAGGAATGGTGTAAACGCTGAGGAAATTAGTTATTGGCAGAATGTGCTGCTGCAGACCTCACAATTTAAGTGCACAAACACATAAACCTCCAGATAAACACATTCTCAAGCAATTGTTCTTCTGACATGGTCATGCTTATGAAAATGTTCATTTTTGTTTCACATGGACTTGGGTTGGACGAAGTTATAGGAAAGTTTTAAATGGTTCTTAAGTTGGCCCGAGTGCATCCTCAGAATCTACTTCTAACACAGGACACCATTATTTTTCAGAATGTTATAGATTCCTTACTATGGTTAATATATCCTGTTTTAATGAGAACTCAGAAACACTGAGTAGATTGAAATTCTGTATTAGTATATCTACTATGGCTACACCCAGAAAATTCATCATCGTACATTATTAATGCCACACAAATATGAGGGCTATTATGTTTAGCCACTGAACTCATAGGAAAGGCCTTGATTTTCAAGGCAAGCACTGTCTCTCCTGATCTACCAATACAGCCTTCAAAAGGGGCATAAAGGACATAAAAAGAGATAGGAATAATTGTTTTTGCATATGAAAGTCTGATCCTTTTACCAAACAGTGCTTTTACATTCAGTTTCTACACCATTAGACATGCACAGTAACTAAATCTCCAGTTTTGTTGATGTTAAGTATGTTTCTTCCCTCTGGATTCCCTATACCATATATGATATATGCTCCTTTCCTCTTTATTATCCCATAACATATGTGATATATGTTCCCTTCCCCTGCATACCTATACCATGTGTGATATATGTTCCTTCCCTCTGGATTCTCTATACCATATGTGATATATGCTCATTCCCTCTTCATTCCCTATAGCATATGTAATATATGTCCCTTCCCTCTATAATATATGTGAAGTCTCTATAATATATCTGGTTTCAGCAAAAAGTGGCACATGGAAAAAAAAGTGGCACATGGAAAATTACTAAAGTACAGAATGCTGAAAACTCTGACAGGACAAGGACACAGGAGAAAATGGGCTTTAGTTTTAGGAATTAAATGATGTCAAGCAAAAACACAACAATATCTTTGTACTTATAACATATTATATTCCTTTATGGAAGAAAGAAAAAAAGGGAAATAAATGAGGAAGTGGCTCCTTTTTGTTTAGAGTCCACATTTATGACATGATGTGGCTAATTTATGCAAGACCATAAACTGAATACTATATGTTCTCATTTGTATGTATGTAAAATGTCCCCCATAGCCTTGTGTGTTTGAACATGTAGTGTGGGGCTAATGGTGCTGTTTGGGAAGGGTTTGGAACCCTTGGAGGTGGAGCATCCTAGGATGAAGCAAGTCACTGGGAAGACCCATCCCCACCTCAGTTAACTCTCTGGAGTTAACTGTGGATTGTGAATGCAATGTTACCAGCTAGTCCCCTGTATCTATAGCCACCCCTTCCCACGCCAGCTTCCATGTCTCCACCAACATGATGCAATGATCACTTTAACAGTAAGGCACAGTAAACCTTTCCTCCATTAAATTGTTTGTTGTGACTTATTTCATCATAACAATGAGAAAAGACGTGAAAACACATTGATTTAGGTATAGACCCTGGTCGTTGCCTCTGTCCATTTGAAGAACCCTTAAATAGACATTCTCTCTTCCCTTGTCTTCCAAGCAGAAGAAATAACCTGATTGTTGCTAGACTGTTCACTGGAGCTGACCAGGAATGCCATTACACACCACTAACAGGTTCATCATTTTGCAGGTTGGTCTTGCTACCCAAGTTATTACCAATGTTGTCCTCATCCATAATTCATTCTGGAGAAAAGTCAGTGCAGAGTAGGATGTGACCAGGTGTGACCTACCACCACCAAGATTATCAAGATTAACAAGGCTGTTCTTCTTACACAAGTCATCCTCAGTATCGTCCTCATCCATATCCTCAATACCTGGAAGAAAGTCAGAGGAGAGAATGGCTCACACATTGGTGCTTGTGGTAATTGAAACCACGCAGTCTCACAGAAGAACAGTTTTCCTTTGGCCTCTAGCAGGCAGTGAGAACCACAATAGATGTGGTGCATGTAAGTTCTGTGGTTGCAGTTCTACAAATGAATGAGGGAAATGAACCTGCCACATTGAAAATATACAAGACATTTGCATTCTTTTCACAGAGGAGCTGCAGTATAATCTACAACTCTTGTGAATGACTCATTTTAATTATTGAAATTCCATGGTACCGTCAGTGGTGCAGTCTTTTTTTGTTGTATATAGGACCACTATGTTAGGTTCTTTACTAGCCTTCTGGGATTTGACGCCTTCAAAACCCAGTCTTTTCACGAGTATAGAAACTCGAATGCATTCACAACAATTATGCCAGCTGTCCATACAGCCTCCTCGAAGCCAAGGGCACACTGCCCCCTGTTATGCGTGTGTGCCTCTTTTCCCTGTTCAGTCCTTCATGGCACAGGGCAGACCCATGCTACCAGCTTAGAGCCCAGGAACTTTGCTTCGGCCTCCATCTGTGTCTCTTTGCCTGGCTCTTTGTGACACTGGGTAGGAACAAGCATCTTCCTTGAGGCCTGGGGCACTCTGCCCTAGCCTGCTTGTGTGTCTTTTTGCAATTCTGGGTCCATTGTGGTGCCAGACAGGACCATACTTCCTCCTCAAACGCTTGGGCACACTACCCGAGTCTGTATATGGTCAATATGCTAGTGGCCAATCAGTGTTTTATTAAACTAATATGGTGACAAATCTTTACAGCCTTCGAGAACATTAAATTACAGCATTTACCCCCTTTTTTTTTTTTTACAAAACAAAAACTCTGAATATAATCTCCTTTGTTTAACTTTCTTTTTTAACCACCATTCATAACAACTTGTAACCAACATACTAAACAATCCTATGGCATTTACCCTTTTTTCTTTTCAAAACAAAAACCCTGAATATAATCTCCTTTGTTTAACTTTTTTTAACCACCATTCATAACAACTTGTAATCAACATGCTAAAGAAAGACAAACAACATCCATAATCCATTTTTTGAGAATGTTGGCATAGTTTTCTAGGCTACTTCCTGCTGATTGGGGGCACTGATAATCCTATGGGGACCTGAAGAAAATTTAATATTATAGTCAAGTCCAGATTGGAGTATTTTGTGAGGTTTGATCATCTCAGCCAGCAGCCTTGAAGCTGTTTGGGATGAAAAACTCAGAAGAAACTGCAACAGAGGTGGTCTGCAATGTTTGGTCATCTGGGCCATCCATTTCCACTGAATATTTCTCAGGGGTCTTCCTTGATTAAACCCTAATTTTCTTTACCCAGAATGAACACACAGCCTCTCATTTCCTATGGAAACAAAACCAAAATCTCTTCTTCAAAGTAACATATCTTTTGATTTAAATTTTAAAGTCAAGGCATTTTCAAAACACATAGGTTGGAGTAATCCAACAGCATTTATAATCAAATGTCTTTTAGCAGCGGTTGCTCCTTTCTCAGCAGGAAACAATTCAAAGACAACACAATAACATATGGTATCCAGATTGTCTGTTTATATTCCATCTTTATGTGACTTTTTTTTACTCTATTTCTTTTTTAAGGACTTTATCTTTTTCCATTTCCCTCCCAAGCCTACGTGTATTTTTAACACACTGTAAAGCATTTAGAGTTTTTTTTTTCTGTCTAAATCTATCTTTTTCTGACCACATGAGTCTTTAATCTGCTAAGTGGCATGGCTAGGATTAAAGCGGCAGCTTTGGCGGCTGATTCCATTGGCTTCCTGATAGTCTAGCTTCATGGTGGAATGAGTGGCAGGAGCCACTTTTATTGCCATAACTCTGCAGAGTTTCTAGGTCCATGCTATCACCAAGAAGCATGCCACTGACTTCTCATAAACACCATAAAGTGTTTAGTAGCAAGACCCTTTAAAAGAGCAACTCTCCCGTGTTTCCTGATTAACACTGAATCAGGAAGCCTTTCTTAAAGGAGCCATGCCTCTGCTTGCTGCCAGCAGAGCCTACCTCAGTAAAGACAGTTACCGATAATCTGTATTTAACTTTGTTCTTATCTGTCTACAATAGTTTTTTAAAAATGTTTTCTCAGACTTTATGTAGAAATTCTTGTCAAGCATTTGGGTGCCATTTGTAGATGGAAGTTTTTGTACCACCCAGTCCCCCTGCTATTCAGTCCCAAAGAAACACATAGAGGCTTATATTAATGATGAAATGTTTGGCCTATTAGCTCACACTTATCATTAACTAGATCTTGCAACTTAAATTAACCCAAATTTTTATCTATGTTTAGCCATGTGGTTTGGTACCTCGTCTCAATAAGGCATTCTCATCTTCCTTCCTCTGTGTATGGCTGGTGACTGACTTTCTGCCTTCCTCTTCCCAGAATTTTTCTAATCTAGTTGCTATACCTATACTTTCTATGTTTTATTAAACCAATTTGAGTAACAAATATTTACAGTGTACAAAGCATTATCTCACACTAGGAGTCCCTGCAGTAGGCATCAAAAGACTGCAGGAAAGAAGAATGCAGCACTGCACAGCTCACTGGTTCAGCAGAAATACCTGCTTTCCATCATTCCAGAACCAATCTATGAAGTTGTGAACTCTACAAGGCTTCCCAATTAAGACAGCTTTAGAGAATACACACTTTGCAAGCAGACACAAAAATCCTATGACTATATAAACTAAGCTGTAGGGATGAGAGAAGAATGTGGTCCCCACTGGAAAACAGAGCGGGTACCCAAAGGACACAGTGAGGAGAATGTGATCTCTAAAGTCAGACTCACACATACTCCAAGGCTGCCTTGCACATATTGCACAACCTTTACAAAAGTTAATTAACTTCTTTTAGCTTAAGAGTTCACAGTTGACAATGGAGCAAAACTATCTACCCCATAGGGTTGTTTTCAAAAGCAAAGAAATTTTATGTGAAGAACCTGACGTCCCAGAACCACCATTCAGAACCTGATAACCATACAATACATAGATTATGAGGGCATGCTCATCAATGGTTTCCTGATTTTCTGAATTATAACTCCACCACAATTACAAACACCAAAGTGCTAAATTATTAAATTTAAATATACTTTCACATTATAGAATACAAATAATGGCTCAAAATGGAATCATAATCTCTTGTATCCTGCCAGACCCTGATTTATTCCAAATCTTACCACCATGTCTCAGGCACTACTGTTCAATTTGGTGCTAAGTAAATTATCATCTCTACCACCAAACTGAAATCAATCATGATATTGGGGTAGTAGAATTCTGAATGAGAGGACAGCCTAGGCTACATAGCAAAACTTTTTCTCAAAAGAAAAATTCAAATTTTCCTTTCTTCTGGGATAATTCAAGATAGTTCTTTGAACAAAAAGTAAGCTAATGCAATGTGTGCAGGAATAAACATGAGTAGGTGGTGTGTGCTTCCAAATAGAGTATCTCAAGACTGCAAAGGATTTCTGGGAAGCAATCCCTTTAATGACATAAAATTTAAAAAGTAATTCAAAGAGTACAGAAAAGTGGAACACATCTCAAATTAAAATAGTAGCACTATGTAGGTTAAAGGGTTATGTCCTCATTTCTGCAAAAGATATTCAGTAACTAACGAGTACAAGAAAAGATGTTCAAATCACTAGCCATAAGGGAAACAAATCAAAACCACAGTGAAGCATCACTTCAGATATCTACACTCAAAAGACAGGGACTAGAGTGTCAGAGGAAACACAGAAGTTGGAACCTTCCTCACACACTGCTGGGGAAATGTAAACTGGTACAGCTGACCTAGCACAGCATCTGGCAGTTCCTCAGTGAGTTAGTGCAATTATCATCCAAATCAACAATTTCACTACCTAGGTACGCTCTATAGAAACGAAAACGCTGTGCTGAGCGGATCCAGAGAGAACCTTTGTCCGACAACAAATGGAGAAAAGAGAGAGACCCACATCGGAGCACTGGACTGAGCTCCCAAGGTCCAGTTAAAGAGCAGAAGGAGGGAGAATATGAGCAAGGAAGTCAGGACCATGAGGGGTTGGTCCACCCACTGAGACAGTGTGCCTGAGCTAATGGGAGCTCACTAAATCTAGCTGGACTGGGACTGAATGAGCATGGGATCAAACTGAATGTGGCTCACAATTGAGGCAGACTGAGAAACCAATGATAATGGCACTGGGACTTGTCTACTACATGTACTGCCTTTTTGGTATTCTATTCTATTTGGATGCATACCTTCCTAAGCCTGGATGGATCAGGGAGGGCCTTGGACTTTCCACTTAGCATGAAAAAAGCTGTTTACGTACTCTGTTGTAACCAGAGTTTCTTAAAGGGGCCAAAGATATATATATATATCTTTGTCACATTCTACGTGAAAATACAGGCCCAGATTGGTATGCCAAAATGTTGTTGTGGGTATTTTACTCTTTACTCTTTTTTGGGGGGGGGGCACAGCATCCAGCTTCCAAATAAATCACATGGAGATATATTACTTATAAATGCTTGTCCTTAACTTGGCTTGCTTCTGGCCAGCCTTTCTTAAACTATCCCATTATCTTTATGTCTGTATACCTTACTTTCACTCTTATTCCATGGATGGCTAGGTGACTGGGTGGCCGGGCCATGACCTCCTCCCCTTACTCTCTCATTCCTTCTCCCCAGATGTCTCCTTCTATTTATTCTCTCTGCCTACCAACCCTGCCAATCTTTTCTCCTGCCTTGCTATTGGCCGTTCAGCACTTCATTAGGCCATCAGGTATTTCAGACAGGCAAAGAATCACAGTTTCAGAGAGTTAAGCAAACGCAACATAAAAAGAATGCAATACATCCTTGCATCATTAAAATAAATGTTCCACAGCATAAACAGATGTAACACACCTTAAAATAAAATTTACAATAGCCAAGTCCTTGACTATTTCCCAATGCACACTTCAGGTACCTAGTGACTTTTAGGATGGTTCTCTCTTCAGTTCTGGGAATTTAGGAGCGATGTGATTCCCTGGGTGTCTCTGGGTTTATTTGCTTGCTCTCCTTACATACAGCATGTAGTCCAGAGAGGGAGTGGGCATGTAGTAAGGGTCACAGCCAGTTAACTGGGGGATGAAAACCTTGCTTTTTCCTGAAGGCTCACGTGTAAAACACATTGCAGTGTGGCCTTTATTTATTTGGCAGCAACTAGTTCCAGGAATTCTGCAGATTTCTAGGATCCAGGTCACTGTTTGACATCTTTGTCTCATTCAATTCCAATAGTCGGAGAGGTTAACAGCTCCTTTTTATACAAGGTGAACTGGGGTGGAGAGATGATGAGTCTTACACCACTGTGGCAAAGGAAAAGTGAAGCCAGGATTTGAACTCAGGTGTGCTCACTTGACATAAATAGATTCAGGAATTCCCACTGTGTGGATGCTGGGCTAAGAAATGATCACCTTTCCCATGTCTCAACAAGCCATGAACACTTTGAGACAACATCCTTACCTGTCCCCAGCCTACTGCAAAATGTGTGCCCTTGAGAGCAGGTGGGAAGATACGAGAGCTCAAGGAAGAGGAAACCGTTGGGACTCCCCAGCTAAGAGAGGGACCTGATATACCCATGGGTGGGTGAACTTAGGCTGAGGAACAGAACAGAGGAATATGGGAAAGGTGCATGGGGCCTAAGACTGGGAGTCAGAATGCTCAATTCCCACCCTGGACTGACTACTAAATCAGTGTGTGCCTCCAAATAGCTATCCATTGAGCTCAGTTTTCTCATCTGTAGACCTAGTGCTGGAATGAGGATATCCACAGCCCCTCCTCAGGATTTGTCTGCCTCTGTCACTCCCACCCTGCTCAGGGCCCCTCCTTCTTCTCATCCAGTAAGACTCAGCAGGTTGGAGAGTGGAGATTGGGACTTGCAGCCTGGGGATCACGCTTTTTGGCCATGGGTCCAGCACAAAGCTTCACAGGTCAACAGTCTGGCAGGTGACTCAGGCCCAGCCTGGAGGGTGTGGGCATCCCTGGTCAGGGAGATGGGACAGAGACAGGATCACAGGCTTTGGGGCAGATGGGTAACTCCCATCAGTTGGCAACACAGAGTCACTTGAGACATTGCAAGTCTGAATTTCCTCTTATGACATCATAAGGAGGTCTAACCAGATGCTAGGCCCTCCACCTTGGACTTGCAGCTTTTTAAAAATGTGATGCAATTTGTGTCTGCTCATTATACATTAACCACTCTATGGCTTTTTTGTCCCTTTAAAACAAAACGGATTCTGACACCTCCATAAAACACACCCTTTCCTTTTTCACTCCACCCTAAGAAAGTCAGGGCTATGTGTGGGAAAGAGAGTGGATTGTGGAGGCAATTAGGTCCATTTTTAGACCCAGATCACTATTTTTATTATGTGGCATTAGTTTGCCTTTTTTCGGGCAGGGTTTCTCTGTGTCACCCTGACTGCCCTGGAACTCACTCTGTAGACCAGGCTGGCCTTGAACTCACAGAGATCTTTGACTTGCTATTCTGTACTCTGTCATTCACCAACTGGGCTGGGGCTTGTTTGCAAGAGGACAGGTGGAGAGGTGCCTGAGTCCCACTGGAGGGCTTGGCTAGCTGGACGGTTGTACATAGAGAGTCTGGGCTACTCCTCCCTCTAGAGATGCCTGGATGTGAATTCACTACTCCAGAGACCCCAGTCAGGCTCCAAGCAGCATTTGTTTTCTGAGGCTGGAGGACGATGCCTGCTGCAGCTGTGCAGAATAAAAGCTTGGCATCTCCAGCTCCATTTTGCATCTACATCCTCTGCTCTGGAGAATTTTCTCCCCAAATCACCTTGGACTCCAGGAACAGTTCTGGTGGATTAACATCTTGTACAAGCATCAAAACTAGTGACCAGACAATTTTCTATGGGCAAAACCTACCTGTGCTGGATAGCTTATGTCAGCCTGACAGAAGCTATGGTCATCTCAGAGAAGGGAACTTCAGGTGGCAAGGTGCTTCCATGGGGCTGAAGGCAGGCAAGACTGTGGGACATTTTCTTAATTAGTGATTGGTGGGAGAGGGCCTAGCATATCCTAGGTAGTGCCACCTTTGGGCTGGTGGTTCTGGAAGAAAACAGGCTGAGCCAGTCATGAGGTACAAGGCAGCAAGTAGTGTTCGCCTATGGCCTCTACATGAGCTCCTGTCCCAAGTTCCTGCCTCACTTGAGTTCTTCCCTTCTTTCCCTCTGTGGTGGACAGTTGCCCGGAAGTGTGAGCAGAATGAACCCTTTCCTCCCCAGGTTGCTTTGGTCATGGTCTTTCATCCCAGCAACAGTCACCCTGAGACACATTACCTGAGCAATCATGCAATCGGTCATCAGGCCTTGGGTCGGTGCCTTATAAGACAGGGCTGATGCTGTGCTTGAATGCTTGAGATAGCTTCACTCACTGAAATCCCCACTCTTTCAGTATCTTTCTGTTTTCTCCCGTTTATTAAACGTAGATTCTTTTCTCACACAATATAATCTGAATACATTTTTCTTCTTTCTCCTCTTCCCAATTCCTTCCTACCCCCTCTTTCATCTCATTAGAAAAGAACAGGCTTCTAAGAGATCACAATTAAATATAGCCAATTAAAATATAGTAAGATAAAGAAAACTATCATATTTGGACAATCCAAGGCAACACAAAAATAAAAAAGCCCCCAAGAGATGGCACAACAATCAGAGACCTATTCGTTCACAGTCAGGAGTCCCATAAAAATACTAAACTGAAAGCTATAGTATGTATGCAGAGGTCTGGTGCCGACCAGTGTAGGCCCTGTGATTGCTGCTTCAGTCTCTGTGAACTCATATGAGCTTTGCTCAGTTGTTTTAAAGGGCCTTGTTCTCTTAGTGTCCTCTGTCCCCTCTGTCTTCCCCAGTCCTGCCCCGTCTTCCTTGGGGTTCCCTGTGCACTGAGGGGGACGATTTGATGGAGACATTTCATTTAGAGCTGTGTCTGTCTCTCTGCACATAATGTCTGGCTTAGGTCTCAGTATTTGTTCCCATCTGTTGCAGGAGGAAGCCTCTCTGACGATGGCTGAATAAGGCACTGATCTAATCATCACTTCCATTTGGTTTTGGTTGAAGAGCGACTGATCTGCTTTGTTGTGATCTCCTTGTTCCATGGCTTTGGTCTCAGGTAAAACCACCACAGTGCCAAAGCCTTCAATACTTGGGCCTTTGGGGAAATTAAACATTCAAATTACTGCTGGTTGTGCTAATAACATCAGTAAGATTTGTAGTATGGAAATCCCTAGTGACTTTGGAAAGAATGGGCAGAAATGAAAGTGCACTAAGTCCAGAACTGAATAAGAATTGAAGTAGGGGAGATATCTTGTAAACTGCAAAGTGCAAAAGGCAGCTAGAAAGTGGGATGAAGACATGTTGAAGTGAGGCTGGTGGTTTGGAGATTCCAAGTTGAAAGAGACTGAAGTTGTTTAAATATCAGGTGAAACAAGAGAAGATGTTTAAAAAGAGAAAGAAGACACTGATCATTACTTATGTTGTACTATGTCCCTTCTGTTTGCGTTTATTGTTTCCTCCCAGTTCAAGAACAAACACTCCCCTCCCAGAGTGCTTTTCGGGGGATTTATTTTATTTGTTTATTAACTTTAAGCAGTTAGTGTATCCAACATGGCAGGTGCTTCATAACTATTTATCAGACGACGGAACGAATGGGTTTTCTAAGGAACCGAGAGGAAGGGGAACCTAGAAGGAGCCACTAATATAGTGCACACCTGCTTCCACAGCTCTCCCACCCCGAGAAGTGAGGTAGACTTCAGTACTCATTGGTTTCCCACCAATGAGTGTGTGCTGTGATACTATGATGTGCACACTCTCTTTTCCATTTAGTTCAGAACTGTGATTTAACTACAGACACATAGTCATCCCGTGCATACCGCTGTCTTCGAAGTAGCTTAAACATATCTGTTAGGTCTTTGTTCCTAGATCCTTGGCTCCAAGTCTGGCACACGACGCCTGAAAGAAGCCTTAAGGTACAGGCTAAGCTCCGGAACACAATCAATCACAGATTTCTCGAGAGGACCTGCTAGGTCCTTCACTTGAGGACTGTGGTGATAAGACAGGCCGGAGGGAAGGTTGAATCTGAGACAGGGGCCCGTGCTGTCAAAAGCGGAGGTGGACTTTTCTCAGTCCAGGGAGAAATAACAGCTCTGGGGAAGTGGGCGCTCCAAGGCTGGGAGCAAACTTACCTTCACTTTCTCTTAAGCGTAGGGCTCGAATCCGGCTGCGCCTGCGCGAATGGTCCTGAAACGCCTAGAGGGCGGGGCTAAACTTCGGGTGGCGTCACGTGGTGCGCCGGCCATCTGCCCCGCCCGATCCTCGGCTGCAGCCCCGCCCCACCCCGCCCCTTTCCCGCCGGGACGCTGGGAGCCGCCCCGAAGTGCGCAGGGCGGACGGGGTAAGTGTCCGCGAGGGGCGCGCGTCGCTTGGACCCTGACGGAGCCTAGAAGGGGCACGGGCAACCTGTGTTGTGGGGCTAAGGGACAAGATGGCGGCGGAACACCCTTCCACCTCCACAGGCACCTGGACGTGTGAAGGGGGAGGGGCGACACGGGGTCCACTAAGGAGGCCGGGCCGGGGTGGGGAGGGTGGCGCTGGCCCGCAGCCCCGCTGGGCTGTGAGGGTCGCGGGACTGTGAGCTCCGTCCCGGCCTGTGCCAGGGCTCGGCCCGGGACAGGATGCTGTCTCTAGGGGACAGTCGAGGCTTCTGGAATGCCGGACTGCGGGGTTCTCAGGAGCTTTCTTGCCTGCATTTGGCAGTTGATCGCTTCAGCGTCTTTTCCTGCAGGGGTTTGCCCCTCTTTCTATGAACCTCTCTCATGGAAGCAGGAAGGGGAAGAATCTTTTTTTTCTTCTCAATTTCCAAACGTTTAATGTTGGGGCCTCAGGTGCAAAAGGAAGGCCTCACACCTGGGTCGCCTCCTGCCTCAATGCCCCTGCCCCCTTAGTTTATTAGCGCCTCCACTCTGCTCAGGTTTGCAGTCCTGTCCTGCTCAAGGAAGCAGGTTAGAGTCAGCAGTTGACTGCGACTGCAGAGCTTTTGAACTTGTTACAAAGCAGTCAGAAAATTGCTTCTCAAGCAACTCCAGCTGCTGTCCAGTAGGATCCCTCTGAAGAGGGCCCTTTGGTCTGAGATCCCCCTCATTTTTGATACTGTCCACCTCATAAAATTGTTACTAGCAGGAAATGATTGTTTCTGTAAAGAACTGCATAGCAAGCCTGCAGCAAATGCTCCTTTCCTCCTCTTTCCCCGATCCTTTGAGCTGCCTTTGTAAAATTCTCCGCGTTAGTCTGTTGGGCTGCTAAAACAAAATACCTTAAACCAAGAAGTGTATGAACAGCAGGGATTGATTTCTCACAGTTCAGGCTCGGAATCCAAGATGAAAGTACTAGCTTATTTGTTTGGTGATGGTGTGCTTTCATATTGCATATGACCCCTTCTGTACTCCTTTTAACTTCTTTTTCAAGGGTTTCAGTCCCATATATGAAGACTGTCAGCCTTAATTACTTCCCAAAGTATTTACCTATTGCTGTCACTTTGGAAGTTAAGATTCCAATATGAATTTTGAGTAGACACAAACATTGTCAACATAGGACTGTGATTAAACACCTGATATTTTTATGTCATGACCAGGGTTGCAATATAAATGTTTTAAAATAATTTCGGTGACTGGGTTCCCAAGGTTTTGTTGTTTTATACAGATTTTTAAAATGCTTTTCCTTTGTGCTTCCTAGACCTTAAGAATCACTGAAAGATTGACTTGATAGTAGACTTTATTAGTGCCTTTGTGAGTGATTTACACGAGTGTTTTAGTGATAAGGTGAAGGAGTTCAGATGTTCTCTTGTTATCTTTGTGCTTCCCCACCCCTTACAACCGAATCCAGTTTTAAAGGGGACACAGAAATCCTTTGGAAATTACATGTAAATATTCTTCAGTCGCTAGAAATAGATGCTGTTGGGGTTAGGGAGTTTGCTCAGTAGGTAAAATGCTTGCAGTGTAAGCATGAGGACCTGAGTTCAGATTCCCTGTCCCCCATGTAAACATCAGACATATGGGTGCATTCCTGAAATCCCAGTGTTGGGAGGTAAGAGACAGAAGGCTCCCTGGGGGTCTCCTTTCCTTCCAGTCTAGCCTAATTAAGTGAGAGGCCCTGTCCCCCATTACCCTGCCAAAAGGTGGAAGGGCTGGGGAGATGGCTCAGTGGGTAAAGGGCTTGACTATGGTTTGGGTCCCACCACCCACATGAAAGCCACATGTAGCAGTAAGTATACATCTGTAACCGTGCTGCTGGGTGATGGTGGTTGTGGCAGAGACAGGTCGATCCCAGGAGCCTGATGGCCAGGCAGATTCATATGTGTACAGTGTGAGGAAGATGCCCATGTCAACCTTTGTCCTTCGTGTTTGCACACCTATGCACACACCCATTATCCTTTCCCTAACACATGAATAATAAGGTAGAGAGTGGCTGAAGAAGCATCTGATTTTAACCTACTGCATCCACACACATTCGTGCTTACCCCATACATGTGTACTTGTACACACAGTGTATGCTGTTATGTTCTAAGTGATACAACAGTCTTCTCCTATGGTACAATATCAATACCGCGGAACTGTCATTTTTGAAACTGTAGACATAAAGATTACAAATATGTGTGGCTGGAGAAATGGCTCAGAGGCTCAAGAGCACCAGTTGCTCTTTTAGAATAACTGAATGAGGTTCGGTTCCCAGCAATCACATGATGGTTCATCACCAGTCCTGGGGGATCCCACACCTCCTCTGGCCTCACACAGCAGACATGCGAATGGTGCATAGACATACTTGTAGGCCAACACCCATACACCTAAAATTAAAATTTAAAAATTTAAAATCCTACAAATGACTTCTTTAATAAAAATTAAATCAATGTAATTCTTTTTAATTTTTTTTTCCTTGGTGGAGTAACTTTCTTACAAGCATTTTTGTTTAAGTCTTACTACAGTGCTGGTTAGATTTTTTTTTGTTAGTTTGATTAATCATCTGGGAACTGGGAATCTAAACTGAGAAAATTCCTCCACCAGGTTGGCCTGTAAGCAAGTCTATGTGGATTTTCTTAATTGATGATTGATGTGAGAGGGCCCAGCCCACGGTTTATGGTGCCACCCTAAGGCAGGTGGTCCTTGTTAGTACCACAGAGCTACCTGAGACAACCAGGAGAGGCAAGCCAGGAAGCAGCTTTCTTTGTGCCTTCTGCTTCAGTTCCTGCATCCAGGTTGAGTCCCATTCCTTCATGACAGACTGTAAGGTCTAAGCTGAAATCCGCCCTCCACTCCAGGTTGCTTTTGGTCAGCTGATTATTACAACAATCGAAAGCAAACTAAGACAAATTCAGACAGTGAAAAAGATCTGCAATCCAGTGCTGGAGCTGCCCTTAAAAAAAAGAAAATTCCCTCTGTGACATACATGATTTCATGAATGTAGCTCGTAGTTCCCTTTTGTTTGTATGTCTGGTGTATGTAGAAACCTGAGGCCAAGCTCAGTGGCCATTCCTCAGGAGCTTGCCACTTTGGTTTTTGAGACAGGGTCTTTTGCTGGAACCTGGGCCTTGCTTAACTGGTTAGACAGGGTAGCTGGTCAGCAAGTCTGAATAATTCTCCTGCTTCTGCTTCCCTGATCCTGGGATTACAACTGTGGTAACCACTCTTTGGTTTTGTTTGTTTGTTTCTATTTGTTTTTTGATTTTTGTTTTTAATGGATGCTGAGAGCTGAAATCAGGTGTTCATGCTGTGTGACAAGCTCTTTACTGGCTGACCTATCGTTCCAGTTCATTTTTTTTTTAATTTCAGACAGATTTTGTAGCTCGGATTGACCTTGAATTTAAATAATAGGTTTCTTATGTATTTTGAAAGCTTACAAAAGTAAAGTATGAACTTCTATATATCAGTATGTTTGAGCAATCTACACTATGGATATTCTCCCATAAAAGCCACCATGTCCACATCTTATCTGTAAAGATTTCAGTATGTGTTCCCTGCTTTTAAATACAGTATAGCAAGAAAGAGGTAGTGTTCTCATTTTCAGTGGGTCATGCCACATTGACAGGAAAAAATACTTTTTAATTGACTTACTCATTGCAGTATATATTGAAGCAATTGAAAAGCTTTTTAAACAATAAGGAATTACAAAGTTTCTGTATTACCCTTAAAGATACTCATTTTTACTCTAATACACTTATCAAAAATGTGAAAAATTATTGTTAGCTTCTGAACATATCTATAACAATGTCAAGTACCAAACCCTAGAAAACATTGACTTTTTTTTTAAAAGAACTAATTTTTATTTATTCTTCAAGGTTTTTAAATAATACAGTTTATTATGGTCATTCATCACCTGTTCCTTCCTCTAAATTCTCTTAGATCTACCCACCTCCTTATCTGCCTCTCGATTTTGTATCCTGTTTTTAAAATTTTATTTATTTTTTTAATGGGGCCATCTACTGGAGGGAGGTTGAGCTATACCGTGAAAGAAAACTGATTCTTCCCTCCCCAGGAGCCCCCGAATGATTCTAGCTCCTCAGGAGAGGGAGCTCATGACCCTCTTTCTACTCTGTGCTAACATCTTGACTGGCTTTGTGTTGTTCAGTTCCAATGCAGGAAATCAGATGTGCTGTGAGTGTGTGAGCACAGTGGTCCCCTCATGTCCAGAAGACACCACTTTTGTTCCAATCCTCCCTGACTAGTCCCAGCCAAATACTAACCTCTGAGTTTGCCATACAAGGCATAGCAGAGTAATAAAATCATACACGTAGTCTGTCGTATCCTGCTGTGTCTGTTTGGCACATTTTAAAAGAATCGTTTCTACCCTCCCATGTGCTAGCGCTTCACTCCTTTTATAAGTAACTAGGATTCCGTTGAGTAGGTATCCCACATTTCATTTACCTGCTGGACAATTCTCGGTTATGCGTATATTTTTAGTTTTAGTTGTTAGGACAGTGCCACTGTGGACATTCTTGTATATATTTTATGTGGTTCTATTTTCATTTCTTTTGAGCGTACCTAGGTAGTGAAATTGTTGATTTGAATGGTAACTGTGCTAACTCACTGAAGAACTGGCAGATGCTGTACTAGGTCAGCTGTACCAGTTTACATCCCCCCTGCAGCCCGTGAGGAAGGTTCCAATTTTTCTGTTTCCTCTGCCACTCTAGTCCTGTTTTTTGAGTGTAGATAACTGAAGTGATGCTTCATTGTGATTTTGACTTGTTTTCCTTATGACTAGTGATTTGAACATCTTTTCTTGTACTCGTTAGTTATTGAATATCTTTTGCAGAAATGAGGACATGACCCTTTAACCTACATAGTGCTACTATTTTAATTTGAGATGTGTTTCACTCTTGTGCTCTCTTTGAAATAATTTTTAAAA